ACCGCGCCTATTGGGGCTGGGTCAAGCAGGCCGCGCCCAGCTTCCGTAGCGGGGAGCGGCCCACTCCACCACCACCTGGCCCCCAGGGCAAGACCCCCCAGAACCCCACCACCGGTGGATGAATGGGGGGAACAGCGCCAGCCCCAGCCCCACTTGCCCCCAAGGGGAAGACAGAAAGCAGACTGAACACAGCCTGCAAAGCAAGCGCAGCTGCAACCCAAACTCGCAACCACGTGCACGCAGACCGCGTTATTTCCCTGCCCCCCGTTAACCGGGCCTAGAATGAGCGCACGCAGCGCAGAACTTTCCATGCCGGAAAATGCTTGAAGCGGTAGCAGCTTCAAGTCAACCCGGATCAGTGGCTGTTACATCCCGAAAAAGCGAGGCACTTTCCCAGAAGGGATCCACCCTACTCCCACTTAGGGTCCTGTTGACTAACAAACTCCAAAAACCCGCGCGAAAGGGTCTACGCCCTGGACCGGATGAAACAGATGCCCGCAAGGCAGAAAACCCGGACACGGCCGCTAGCCGACACTGAAAACCCCAGAGGGGAAACGCATAGACACCAAGATAGACACGCACCACGATGGACTCTAAGACCAAAATCCCGCGCAAGATATAACGCAGCGAAAGCGCCGATACACCACCCCCTCGTGGCGAGCCGCAAAATGTAGAAAGGATACCTCCGGGGAACAGAAAGCACTCGAACCCCCCACATTCCAGCAGCAAGCAATAGGCAATTCCCCAGAAGGGATCCACCCAACTCCCACGTAGTGTCCTCTTGATAAACTTCAAAAACCCGCGCGAAAGGTTCTGCGCCCTGGACCTGATGAAACAACTGCCCGCAAGGCACAAAATTCGAACACGGCCCCTAGCCGACACGGAAAACCACTGAGGGGAAGCCCATCGATACCAAGATAGACACAAATGGTGATACACTCTAAGACCAAAATCCCGCAAAAGGAGCATTGTATAGAAAGCGCCGATCCGCCGCCCCCTGGTGGCGAGCCGCAAAACGTAGAAGGGATTGATACCTCCGGGGAAAAGAAAGCACTCGACCCAAGCGAGGTGGCAAGACATACAACACAAGCCCGAAAGCCACTTCCAAAATGCGAAAAAGGAAGTCCTTCAATGTCAAGAGAAAACACCACTCACCTCCCGTCCCGGGAAAGCCCGCCGGCACGGGCGGAGGAAACTGATGGCGATGCGCAAGCTAGCACAAGACCGCGGGCCGGAATTGCGGCAAGCGGCGGCAGGATGGACAATAACAGTCGAAAGTCAAACGCAGGAGGCACTGCCCGCGCGAACGAACACTGCCCGGCGGCACAGAAGAAAACCGGTAGTAATCCCGCGATACAGAGATAGCGATGACACAAGGAGGGCGAGACAGGGCTAGGAAACATCGCAGCAGTGCACAACAAGGTCGGACTCCAAAAGTCACAAGCAGACCACCTGTCAGCGATTGGCCCAGGCGCTACGGAGGGCGCGGCCCGGTGCCGGGCGAACAGCCGCGCAAGACCAACCTACGCAGAAATGCAGAGGCACAAAACCACCGCGGAACAGGAAAAGAGCTCCACACCTGTATCGAAAATAAAGCAAAAGGCGAAGCTGCACAGTAGCAACCAGTAACTACCATACCCCATGTGGTCCAGTAGCGAAAAATGAAAAGCAGCCACAGAGGAGCAATCCTCGTCGAGACGCGACCCTAGGTGCCCCCTCTGACAAAGGCGAAGCGGGTCCAACAAAGCAGACAAAGCACAGTGCCTGCCCAACGTCCAGAACAGTGGTCCCTCACGGACCCGCCCAGCAACAGCAGACCCCACTAGCGGGCGCAGCCGGAAACTAGCGAGCCAAGCCCGAGTACGCCAATGCTCTGCAACCAACCAATGCAGCAAACGCCCCTCCATGCCAGCAAGCAATTCCAAAAACCAACCCTGCCCGGGCCAGATTCCCCAAAATTCCGAAACGCCGTCCGGTGGGGCCCTGGACCTTGAGATCTATCTGAAAGAAAGAACAAGAGACCTGGGAGCGAAAGCGGACGTGATTTAAAAGAATCAATCGCGGAATCAAAGGCGAACTAGGGCTCCGGGTTCCCGACTGGTGAAACGAAGAGGCGGGTCCTCCCGGCCTGGGGAAGGACCTAACTAGCTACAGACTCAGAAAGCGAAGAACCTCTGTCCACGAGGTACCCCCAAAACCCGCACGAGCGCCCTTCCTCCTCCCGCAACTCAGCTAGAGAACATCTTGAGACAGGCCCGAAAGCCGCCTGCCAGCAAACAACCAGGCGAGTGGCCATTTGCCCCCGAACGATGGCTACTGCCAAATGGCCCCAAAACCAGAGCCCCCACCTGGGGAAAATCTGATGCCCGTTCCCCGGGTACTGCGGCCATACTAAAGGGAGCACGCGCCCCGGGCAAAACAAAATCCACCGTCCTCATGACTGGCACGGCCGGGCGGCCTAGCATAGCCTATAGCGTTAGCGAAACCGTCGACCCCAGGGGGACAGTGTAAAACTCCAGAACAAAACCCGTAGCATGCGCTACATATCCACATAGGCGAACAACGCCCGCCGGGCAGGACCTCAGAGATGGCGCAAAAAGCCTCGGCGACCGGAGTCCGCAACTCGACTCCATTGCTCAACTTGCATTCGCCCCTGCGAGCACTCACTATTACCTACTGACGCGACCATCCGGGCCAAAACCCCTGTGAAGCTACCGCAGGGAAACTCCTGAACCGGGACAAGGAGACATCGCTGCTGACCCACAGTCCGCCTCCCCGAAAAAGCTAAAAACACGGAAAAGGCGCCTATAGTTCCCTTCCAGAAAAACTACGCAAGAAAAGGCCACGCGCCGGGTAATCAAAACCTGTTCCAGTGCAGCCTCAAGGCTGGCGCTACAGCCCCCCAATCATAAGCACCGAGACCCCGCCTCTTAGCAGCCCCACCAGGGACATCCGATTTTCGCCTCTAGGGAAGCAAGGCCAACAAACGCGCCTGAAAATATTGACTGCGAAGTGTAGCCGGCGGCAGAGCCAGAGAACCGTCCGCGAGGTAGCCGAGCGGCAGCACCCTACACCAGTAAAACCAGGCTCCCACCGGAGCAGAACGCAAGCGCTGTTCTCACGGCAAACACAAAGTCGAGGAGCATGGATAATCCCTGGGCTACATTCCACGTCGCAGAGCAGATCGCAATAACCGTGAACGCAGCGAAATAGGCTAGAAGGGGAGCGAGAGAGAGCTAGGCAACCCCGGGGGACCTATTGAATTGTGAGACGAATAGCTTAAACAAGGTTCAAATAGGGCGGCCTGAATTCCCGATCAGGCTCAAGTGTTGCGTGGTCAGCTGTAGAGCACATCGCATCCTAACAGTAGCAGCAATTTCCCCCCGAGAAGTGGCAAACTACTGCGCTAACGCGAACGGACTAGAACAGCCAAGCACCAAGCTAGCTTCCCACTATGGCAACAAATCCCATGCGATCCAAGAGTAGCAGACTAAACAGACTAACGTCAGGACAACGCAAACAGCCTCTCTTCTCGACCACTCCCGGTACGTAGCTATCCTAGCCTAGCCGGCTCGACCAGACAAGCGGGTCATCCGAAACTTCCAAGAAGTAGCCTCCCTAGGGCACACAGAAAGCCAAAATTTCCCGACCGGTTAACCAAGCCTAAGAATAGCGTCGCACCTCCAACGTGCCCCCAGCGACTGTCTGGGTGGGAAAATAGCAAGCTACCCGAAACAAACCCAGCCGCTGCAGGTCCGGCAAACTCCAAACGAACACCAAAGAGCAGACCTTCGCTTGTGGAAAACTCACTGACGCTGAGCATCGACAAGTGCCCTACTCCTACGGCCAAGGCCCATCCGTTCGTGAGGCTGCAACAACCCCTCCCGGAAGGCAAGGAAAGAAATCCGAATATCGGCTGAAAAATACTGCTGTCGATCCAAATCGACCCGGGCTGACCTCGCTAGAAAACCGACGGTCCTCGTAGGAAAATCCAAAACTCAGAGGCGAGCACCCAAAAGCCAAGGCGTTGCACGCGCCTGGCGTGACTCCTAACCCTATCATGAGAAAAAAGGGAACCAGAACCACTAGTAGGCCTCTCAGCCACTAGGCCCGAGCGAGCGGGAGACCCCCGCGCACGTCTACGCGAAGACGAGTTCCGTACCCCCAGTGCGACCAGCTACCCCGCAAGGGTGCCACGAATAGCGCACCTTACTCAACCCCAGCCCAGCTGGGCCTTCCCGCGACAATAATGCCCGCGCCACAGACAAACTTTGGCGCGGGCCATCATCCACGAAGCAAAACCTCGGCCCCGCCCCGCGATGGGAACAGAGGGCGAACGAAGGAGACACCAAACCACCAGCCCCAGCCAGGGAACAAGTTCGCAAGGGTAACGGATTGGGTACCGCCAGTGCCAAACGACCCCTGTTCCCAAAGCAAGGCGAGACCGAGGACAGAGCGGAGCTCCCCTGGTGTGGTGCAGATGAGACTGCAAGGCCAATCCGCAAAAGTAAAAGAAAAAGGCAGCCGCCGAGATAGGTGCCAGCGCTGTGAGGCATCTAGCCAGCCTTCCGAAAACAGAAATGCCCCAGGTCAGGGAAGTTCCACCGCGAAACGAGATGCACTAGACCGCAGTATCAACAAAGCGAAGCAGAGGGTAGTACTACGGGCCCCTGAACGGAAAACTTCCAATGTGTAAAAAGATCCAGGCCCCAGCCTAAATAAAATCTATCGAAACGGCCAACAGGCAGGATAGAATAGACACTGGCTCCGCGCCCCCAACGGGATGCGAGCTATACGCGCATCCGAAACAGAGTAAGTATCCTCACCTCCGTCAACAGGGCCAACCCTAGCAAAACCAAACGCCAACAGAACTGCGGCGAGCCCCGCCACCTCGTATCCCTAAGTGCCAAGCCTCTAGCTGTCGACCCATGCGCTCCCGGCTGGAGGTTTTGTACACTCGCTGACAAGAACCCCGCGCAGAACTATACTATCGACCCACTGAGACCGAGGACGAAGCAAAGCTTCTCTGGTGTAACACGGAGTAGAGACGCGACCCGGCAGGGGAGTAGCTGCTCTCAAGCTAAAAACCAGCACCGCGAGGTATCTGGCCCCGACAGGGCTTCCCAAACGAGGCTTCCGAGCCTCCTGCC